CTACAAGCGCCATAATGATGTCCCATGCGCTACTCTGCATGCCTCCCTCGTCCTCTTCCACCCAAGCTGTCATGTCTCGTGTTCCAGCAAGAGTTGCAAGACGCGTACATACGCCAGTGAGGGTGAGCACCTCATCCTCACTGAAAGTGGCTATCTCCAATTCGTCTCGACCCCGGATGATGTCCCGTAGGGAAGTAGACAGTAATTCTTCTAGCTCTAAAACTTTTGCGCTATTCGTATTTGAGAGACTTGTTGCATCTATCATGCACCGAATTGTGGTCACCGCTGTGGAGAGGACGATTTGTGCTGAATGAGATGTGAATTGCTTTATAACATCGTCCCATAGACCGACGTATGCCTGGAAGGAAGTCAATACCATGGCTGCCGCGTCACAAAGACATACATACAGTCATCATTCGCATCTCAAGATACATGTTGAGATTCATCAACTGTGGCAGGTGCAACACGTCAGACATTCTTCCAGGATCAGTCTGGTACTTCGCGAATAATCTCGGCAACGCCTTGATGAGTGCACGTGTTATATCTGAAGAGACTGTGTCCTCTTCACCCTATACTTGGCATGAGCGAGCGAACCTGCATTAATGGTGGCGTCCCTACCTTTTTGGCTGCCCCTGCGGCTACTTTCGCTCTGCGTATCGCAGCGGACAGAACTGAAAGCAGAGCACCCTCCTCTACATCCTCGAGTCTCCACACTTCATCCACACTGGATTCAACAGCAGTTTGTTTACCTCTCTTGTTATTCCGTGACCGCGACCCTTCCTCCGAGGCTGAGTGATCAAGCTGTAACAGGTCAAGCAGACTCTCCCAGTCGCTGACTTCCGGAATTTCGTCCCACAATGCCTCAACAGCCAGCACTGTGCGACTCTTCTGTTCCGGTCCTACAATGCCTACGACTTCCTTCCGCCGTCCCGGCCCAGAGCCTTCCGATTGCTCGCCGTCTTCATCGGGGTCATCATCGTCCTCTATGCCCTTTCCCGTGTCCAGCGCCTTCCCCCACTCAACGAGCAACATGGCAAGCGCTTTAATTCCAGCTTTCTTCTTGTCTTTGGCGTCCGGTTTCTTGCCTACTAGCCGTTCCTCTAATCTTTCTTCCCAGACTCCCTTCACAAAACGGCCCACCACTCGCCTCATTTTTACCTCTTCGTCAAAAATGAGTAAGCAGAGTTTCGCACGTTGTTCATCCTCAAGGAGACCGTGGCCATCGATGGCTTGCAATACCTGGACGACCGATATTCTGACATTCAGCTCTGTGTCTCCCATCGCCATCTCCACAAGTCTTGGCTTGAACCGTTCGGTGAAGTGTTGCAGAGCGCCTGCTCCAACTACCTCTGCCTGCGCGTACGCTAGAGAGAGTGCTTTGACGGCCTCCAGTCGTACGTGCGTATTCGAATCAGATAACACCCAACCAACGTAACGAAGGTATTGGCCGTCAAGAAAATGAGCTGGATATCTTGAGAACCACAGGCCCATAGCACTTATGCACTCTGCTCGGATATTTGGATCGAGGTCGCGATACCGGTGAACAAAAACGCTTTGAGAACATTTGAGATTGCGAATACAGTCAGTGAGAACAACACGCACCCGTCGACGAATTCCTTTATGTATTCTGCCAACTTTGTCCTCCTCTCCCTCACCTCTGCACCCTTGCCGTCAAGCTCTTTCTCTCGAGCAGTGGTTGGCTCTCCCCTTCCTTTCTTTCGCTTTCTCTCGCCTTCCTTTTGCCTACTCACAACCTCTGCTTCTTTCTCCACACTAGCAGCTACCTCGCATAATGCTGTTTCCACTTCTAATGCGACAACACTTGCTGTATGCCTGAAACTTCGTAGTTGACTGCTACTCATCGCCACCACCCAAGCTTGGAGAGTCGTCATAAGATCTGTAGAGTATAGCTGACCCATCGCTGCCGCGGACGAAATCAAGCGGGAGAGGAATTCGGAAAGAGATGCACGGAAGGGCTTGAACGCGGGTAACTTGGAAGTGAGAGGGTATACAGGGGTATCGTTTTGTTTGAGCGCTTCTGTGATGTTGTCCAGCGCGTCAACAACACCATCGTAATCAACGACCTCGTCGCCGTCTATCGTATGATTGCAGCCACACGCTCGTAGGATAGAATTGACGAGCTCTGCTTGCGCTAGACCAGGTGTTTGACCCAGAGATTCTAGAAATTCTTCGACTGTGGACTGCAAAGCAGCCGAAGGGTTCATAATAGCGTCTAGAAATGTTGATAATGAGAGAGTGCTGCAGAGCCTTGAAAGTCACGCACTGAACAGGGGGTTGTCATTGGTAATCTTCGTCTCTTGGGCTACTTGTGCGGCATCAAAAGTCTTGCCACCCCTGCGTGCCCTGGTCTTTCGCGGTTTCGTAGCGGTGTTAGTAATGAATGGAGCGGTGCGCGGTTTTTTGCCCGGCGGACGTCCCCTTCGCTTCGGTGGCACATTCGCGGAGGATGCTGCTTTGGCTTGAGACGGTTTGCCTTTTGCCTTGGCTTTCGGAGCAGAGAAGTCTTCCTCTGCGCCACCTTCCTCATCGTCCGCATCAGGGGAGTCGATATCCGATAACTCGCTTGAGCCCTCATCGTCCGAACGTTTCCTCTTGCTCAGTTGACTATCAACTGTGCCAACCGTTAATGAGCAGAGCGACGCGTCAAAACCGCAAGTACGTACTTGATACGAAGTGAGAAGCCTTCTTCTTCTCCCTTTGCGATCTACGCGGAGCCGCAGAGTCTTCCGCGTCCGACATGGCGAGGGTACGAAGGTCAGAGTAAAGAGGGTAAATGAGGCAATGAGCGCGTGTCACCAGTCGCGACAACGTGACTGACCGTGATCGTAACGCGTCTGTCACTGTATCACGTGAGGCACTTGGCTCGTAGAACTGGTCAAGTAAAACTTGATTTTAGCCACAAATTGCCGCAAATTTGTTGGCAGTGCTGTTCAGTATTTCTCACAGATTATTGTAAAGATAACACACCGCGCAGGAAAGAATGCCTTGCCTGATTCCCACGCCACGAAGCTGAGCGCGAAGGATTGATGGGCGTTTACGGGTTTGCCGCCTTTCCTCCTGCCGTCATCACTACTGCATCTGCTCTCTTTCTCCAAGCGAGAACTGTAACGCATCTACCACCATGAGTGCTAGACAACCCTTCATGCCACAACTGAAACAGGATACCTCTGCAAACGACTCCTCGTCGGACAGCCTCAAAGCTGATACCAGTATGAGCTCGGACGGGGATGGCAATCGGACCTCGTCGACTTCTCTTAGCCTTCACTCAATGAACTCGGATGACACAAGTATCTCAAGTGGGATCAACAAGCCTCTCAACATTTCCAGCCTGATGAAGAATAAGCCGCATACATCTGCCAATGCCTCGTCTCTCAAGACTCGTGCATCTATTGAAACCGAAGCGAAACGGCCCTTTTCTCCCTCCACTAAGCCGTTCCATCCGGCTATCAATCCACGCGGGGCGAGAATTGCGGCTCCCTCTCCGTTTTTTCCCAGCACTGCTAGTTTCCAATCGATATCTGCTTTCAGAACCCCTCGTATTCCGTCGCCTACCAAGCTTCACTCTGCTGCTTCTGTTGAGGATCTAAACATGAACCAGCCGCATACATCTGACTCTGTGCCTCTTCCTGTGCCACACTCTGAGGAACATTCCTATAACATCCAGCGTGGTAGCCCGTATGAACGTTCTCGCTCTGCTGCTAGTGGAAAGGACCAACCAGGGGACCGGCAACGCGAACGATCTGGTGGGCTCGAGGATTTTAATCCTGGCGAGAACGGCCTTGGTGCCCATTATCGCGCTCCATTCCTCAATCCTGATCGTGCTGATCACGAGCAAGACCGCTACACGAAGATGCCTCCCCGACGAGTGTTGAAACGCGTTGAGCGTGTGGACGATAAGGATAACAATGGCGACTATGGTAATCCGAAGCGGTATAAATTAGACGACGATGATGATGCGAGTACTCATTCTAATATGCGCTCTGATACTAACCGATATCGATTATTCAGGTGCCAAGTGCTTGCGACTCTCATGGGAATTTACTGACCTCGTACCCATTTTCTCCTCAACGGTCGCCGTCTCCTGCTGTCTCCCACGCTGGCTCTCTTTACGCATCTTCCGGCCAACCTCCTGCCCCAATCCCTGATGTGCGCAAAAATCACGCTATAGCTCGGCTTCTTGGACAAGATCTGGACTCGTATGTCAGCACTCATCAGGACATCTACGAGGACGCGAAAAAGAAATGGACCGAATGTACCATTGAGGAATGGAAGACAGGCGCAGATGGTATGATTTTTTTTTCACGCAGCTGAAAGCAGCTTTTGTTCAGTTTTCCTGGACAAATGATCTATGACTAATCATTGTCTGTCGAATAGAACTGGCGGGGAGGTTCAGCCACTTGCTTGACTATGTAAGCTTACCCGGCGTTTCTATCCAATTTCGTCTTCTTACGTTCTGCTCATAGGTCAAGGATCACATGAAGTACGCACTCACCCTTCCGTATCTTCCCCTTTTCGTCCATCTCACAGGAGATAGCACTAAACTGTCATTATATGCGTCTTTTGCGGACAATCTTTCTGCTCACCGAACGGTACTCCAAGAGCGGGAAAGCACTCTCGAGGACGTGCGACGCACACTCATCCGTAATGGTGGGAATGTTTGTGGGAATGCCAATATCACCGACGGCATTGGTGCTACGAGAGCTATTGACCTAGATAGCGGGGATAAGTAGGATACGTGAGCTATTATGAATACAACGTTGACGTGTAACTCATTTGGCACTTGTATCATGCTATGTAACAACGTACATGGAGGACTTTTCGCCCCCCGGCATACAAGATTCCCTTTGTTGACAGATGTAGCGGATTCGAAAATTGGAGGGGATCATCATCACAACGCTATGGTGTGTCGTACGCTACATCATCCCAATGACAACCGTCTATGTTCCACAGACTTTCCTCTCATGCAAAAATAAAAGTTCTGGACGTTGAGGGGTTTGAACCCTCGACCTCATGCAATCACGCGATGTGCAAAGCAAGCGCGCTACCACTGTGCTAAACGCCCATGTTTGGATCTGTATGTAACTACAACACAAACCCTACTTCGCATTGCAGTGTATATGTTGACATCACTCCTCACTGCAGGATCCTGCGTCCCATCATAGTTTCAGGCTTGACGAGTGCGAAGAAGGCAACCGAGTGTATTTCATTTAGCCTGCTCGACTAACTTATTGACAATCTCAACTGCACGCTTGAACCTGGCTTTCTCCTCTGCTGTGGCCCTGACACTGCTCTGCCCGCCGCCACATCCCTGCGGGCCTCCGTTCTGCCATGTAAACCCCTCACTGGCAAATGCTATGCTTGTATCCAGCCGATAGATGTCCTCGCTGCCGGCTGGCTTCTCGGTTGGCAGGGACTTCAGGATTGTGTACAACTCAGTGATGCTCTCGTCGACGCCCGGCTCTGATTTCGAGAGTGACTTGGGGAGAGCATCTTGTAAGCTGGGGGTGCCGTGAGGACGGATCGCTGAAGTGATATGCAGATCTGCTTTGTTCGGACTGCCCGTTACTGTCAAGATCGCACTGGGAGTGGGGGGAGCGAAGCCTCCGGTTATGCCTGACGAGACAATGAAGATGTTCCAGTGAGAAACTGAAGCCATACGTGGGAGGGAGCGTTGTCGTTACCTTCTTGCAGACGAAGTGAGAATTCTGGAGGGGACATAGTAGAGGTGAAAGTGGCGAACGAGGACTGTGGTGCGTCAGCCAGTGGCGGAAGCACTTTATAAGGACAGATTCGAATAGATAAAGGCCATTCGCGCCGCACGCTATCATGGGGCCCCTAGCCACCTATGGCTGTGGCTGTGTTCTGAGGTCATGGCGTGTAATGTCCTGACCATCAGACTGCGCTGCGCGGATAGATTCAAACAGCTTAGGCGTTCGTCCGCCCAGGTGCATAGCAGCTTGCATAGCCCACCAACAGATCCTCGATAGTGCATCCCCAACAGTGCATCCCTAATAGTGCATCCCCGATAGTGCATACAACATTAACAGATAACACAGTCTTCTTTGAAGCTGAGATTGTACATGGTCTTATCCACAGTCTTTTCAATCTTCTTCCAGTCCGACCGGCGCTGGATAAACTCATACACGTCCTTCGCGGCTGGAATCAGAACGACGAACAGCATAGTCTCAGAGAGGTACACACCTCGGGTCGATACGCTCCGCCATATCGAGTGACGTCCCGGACGATCTGAGCCAAATCCTTCGCATCCTCGACAACGTACACATGCCCCAGCATCTTCAGGTACGCAAATTCGGCGATGATTGAAGGCACCTGCGACAAGTATATTGATTAAAGATTGATCAGATTGCGTCACTGGAGAGTCCACTCGCCTTCAATGACGATATGAAAGAGTGATAGGCGTTCAGGTCCGCAATGATCAGGAAACCACCGCTGAGAGAGATGATTTGTCGTTTGATATGTTTCTGCAATATTCTATATGCGGACAGTTAGTCACATACAAGCAACGCAAGACGGCCAAGTCTCACCCTATCAATCGAATACCAATCTCCTGGTAGAACACTTCCAGCACTTCCTTGCTCGTACTGCCCTTCAAGAGCTGACAGTGCATCTTCAAACACTTGATGGCCTCTGTACAGCCCTCAGTTGCGCCCAATTCGAGAGGGATATTGTCCGGAGGATAATACTCGCGGGGTTTGGTGAGCTTAGTGATGATGTGTTCCACCTATGCACGATATCAGTTGTCGAACATGAGTCACGGCGTTTGGGGTCGAATACCTGATTCATGAGTGTTTCCGTTCCCATGTTCAGGCCACCGGCCACTGAATCGTCCAGAACATCTTCAAACCGCTTCTTCTCACGTACAACAGTGTTCAAAAAGTCATTCTTGTCGATATGTGATGCCTGGCACATCCGTGCGTCAGTACATACACTCCATACTGTGCGCAAGGAGCAAGACCTACAATCTCCTTGTCAAAATACACCTGGATCATTGACTGCATAGTATCTCCCACGTGGACCAACTCGAAGAACTGCAATAGAGGAGCAACACTATTTGTTTCTTCGTGTTCAGCGGGCTTGTATGCTCGCATCTGTGCCGTAGCCCTGAGTGACGATCTCTCAGCTTTTGCTCAGAAGCCGGTGATCAAGCGTACCTCTCAAATCCAGGCTTTATATGACGATCGCCGAGGGATTGCAGCAGGAGTACGAAAATCTCCTCGATGGTGTCCCGCACACGATGTCCATACTGACCAGGATACCCAGAAAACGTCTCTACACGCTTCAGCGATTCCCGGTCAGCGTGGATAAGCTCAAGAGCTGTGTCAATGGACAAAAGCATTTCAAACTTGTCGAAAGTAGCAGCTGCGGCTGGAGGCACTGGAGTCGACACGCGTGTTGATGACGAGGATATAGATGGCGCAACCGAGTTTAGAGTCGTGGTCGTCGCAGTGGAAGCTACTGAAGCTGGAAAGTACGTCAGTGAAATCGCTGACAAGCTGATACGGGAGTGCCAGTACCTCTCGCATCGCTTCTTTTCTGCTTCTCGTCGCGCCAGTCCCCGTTTCCGTTCTCCTCGCTGCCCTTCTCTTCCATTTCATCTTCATCTTCGTCGTCACCGATGTCAAACACCATGGCTGCATGCTGGCCCTTTTCGAAGTCAACATAGCCGCTCCTACTGCTGTCCCCTTGCCCCACTGATTGTACTCCCGATGCCCCCCAGCGTTGTGGGTTGAGCATAGATATACCTTGGACAGCAGCGGTTCCTCCTGTTGTCAACGCGGCGCCGAATGCTTTACCGACCGCCATAGTTGTTCGGGGGACAATTGTCACGGGGAGCAACAGTACGTCCGTAAACGAGGCAAGAACATTGCGCTTTACTTGTGCCGGATTATGGGAGCCGATAAACCGAGCCTGTTCGTGAGTTACTGTAGGTGATGCTGCATCCTGTGACAACTAGGTCATTGTTAGCAAGTACACCGGGTTGTCCAGAATGATTACATACAGTCTTTTCCCATTGCCTACATATCATATCGAAAGCCTGTTTGAGCGACTCGAGCTCCTCATCTAGGTACTCATCCATATTAGGCTCAAACATCCGATATCTACAGTGCACGAGAATTCGCAATAGATCACGATCAAACATACTGGCCACTTACACTATGTCCTCTGCTTGCGTGCGAGACAGGACATTGTCCGCTCTCTGCGCAGCAACCTGCATGACCATATCGACTATGCGCCATGACTCCCGAAAGCTTGCGGCTACTGCCGTCAAGTATGTCGAGTTGGAGATTTCGCGACCTTTGGTAAGCAATGATGATATATATTCGCCTACCTATTCATTTGTGTATGAAGTGAGTCAGGCAAGCATTTATTTTGGTATACGCACCACTTCACATGCAACACGGTCCGCGAACGATACCAGCACGTGGGCGTCGGGCGGGAACACTCGCACCGCGCGACTACCTTGCTCTTGCAAGACAGCCAAGATCGCTGTTATGAAGACGTCCATAGCATCAAAGTCCAACTGTCCATCCTTCCTGGTCTGCATTAGAACTATTGCGCTGCCAATAGAAGTAGCATGACCTCACGTGAAATTGTCGAGGGGATTCCATTTACTCTGTGGGTCGTAGAATATTTCGTGTTTATCCGCCCATGCTCGCGCCAGCTCCCATTGGCCCTCTGCAGCGTCCCACACATCCCAGCTCGCTTGTGCAACCTCCATCATCGCTTTTTCGTCGCCCTTGCTGTCGCTGGCGTCAAATGCGGTCAGCAGGCTCTCACCGAATAGGTCCATCGCAGCCCGCAAGGACGATGCTAATGTTTGCCATGTTCGCAACGGTTTCACTCTGCACGAGAAGAAGAGGGAAAGAAGGCGAAGCGTGTGAGCCTGTGTACTGAGCGCGGGTGTCGGCGTAGGAAATAGTGCCGTCAGGATCGCATGAGGCGGGGAGGACAACGCTCGCGCAAATGATTTGAGAAGATTGTGTGCCCGGATGTACTTGGCACGATATTCCGTCTGCTTTGGCGACCACGAATGCAGCTGTGGACTTTGTATCGATGCACCGGCGAAGCCAGTTACAAAGTCGCCCATTGTATCTGTAGGTGGACTGACAGTCGAGAAATCACCGAAGTCGTCGTCCGCGCTTTCGACAGCGAGCATAGGGGGAGCCTGCCCCTGACGTATCGCATTCTGAGTCTTCGAGGCAGATTCAAGTTCGTCGAGGATAGAGTTAAATTGCGGTCTGTCAACTCCAAACGCCTTCCAGCGACTCTCCCAGACTCGTTCATCTTTGGAGAGTCTGCTGAGAGCCCGGGACGTCAACGCATACGCTGGAATGTCCGCAACAGCAACGTAAGATAGAATTAGGATGTGTACGTCTACCGGAAGCCGTCCGATGAGTGAAAAGGGTGCAGCAGGCTTTACCGAGGGGAAGTGGGAAAGCCGCTTCGAGTTCGCGCTGGATGCTGAGGCGTAGAGTTTGACAGGCTCAAGTGTCGTAAACTTGTCCATGCGATGCTTTCAGTAGGTGATGCAGCCCGCCTGGGAGTAATACTAGTGCGAGGGGGCCAGAGAGAGTGAAAGTGTACGGTATGGATGCAGATGCTGTCTGCGCAGTGCCATCAGCGCACGAACCCTTTTGGATCTCGCACCGTCAATCCCGGTTCACAACAATCCACCATGGCGTTCATATGAAAATTGTGGCATAAATGTGATACCTTAAGCGCAGCGCGCCGTGTTTGATTAATTCATTCAAGCATTCACGTAGGTTCGTATTACAGTAATCTTCCAATCGTGGGTCATTGGCCCGGGGGCCCAAACGGTCCAAGCTCACTGCCTTTCAGTTCTCAAAAGTCATAAACTTGATATTTCGATACCGCCCTGGCATTCTTGAAGGGTCAGAGTATCAGTATGACTGAGCCCGCAGAAGAACTGCCAAAGTGTCCTGGGGCTACGTATTCCAATGTCCAGAAGCAAGATATGTAATGATCGAAAGATGGAGTATAATGTCGGTAGGAGTCCATGACCAAAGCATCATGAATCCG